GATTCTTGTTAGCTATACTTTACAAAGGGCCATATGTTAGATATTTGTATGAATATTCATTTCATCAATGCATTATTTAGAATTTCAGATTATGTTAAGGTGTCATTGAGAATTTTTGTTCAATGATGAATAAAGAGATCATGTGAAAATGTGTTTACAAATTGGCATGTAGATGATGATCTTCTAGATCATGATGAGCTATTTAAAATTCATATGAGATAATCTATATGGTAGTTAGTACAAAAATCACTAATCACTAATGATCAACCTTTGCAAATGATTGAATATTGATTCTACTTACTCAAAAAAAAGTAATTGAGTTTGGATTGCCATATCTCTTCCGTATTTTCTAAGTATTGAATGCAATACAAAGTATTATTTTGATCTAAGTGTATCGTAGACTATACTCTAAAGTTTTTTGTGAAATTGCGTAGGATTGCACTTTCTTGCAAAAAAATGGCAGAGAGCTTAGAGGCTGCAATTGGGTCGACTTTCGGCCCAATATAATTCTTAATATGATTTTATGATTGTTGATTTGATCAATGCAAAGCTTTACTTATATATATAACATTATATACGTTTAATATCAAAATAATTTTATTTTTTAAATTTTTAAATATTCGTTTGGAATCTAATTTATTGCTATAGTATTAACATTGTGATAGTAAGTTTGATTAAGCAATTTTCACTGTAGTTAATAAATCTTTACCATACTCAAGGAATCAATATCATCTCAAATGACATAATTTTTTTTCATAAAAAATTGCTTCAGTCATAAGCTTTCTAGTGATAGTTTTTGATACTTCTGAAAGCTCACAATAATTTTTTCCCCACTTATAATATGAAACTAAGTGCTTATTTCACTCTCCAACTTTGACATCATATAAAATGATCTCTACGTTTGAAAATTTTTTCTGAGCTTGTACTAGCTCATATTATAATTGCCACGTGTTCTTTCAAAATGTCTTGATAGGTATGAAAAAAGTCAAAAAATGTGTTCAAAGAACTATCTTTGATCCAAAACCTCCACCAATGGAAATGAGGAGAAAAATTTGATCATTGGAGAAGTCAAAAGAACCTGACTTGGTACTATTCAAGTCAAATTAGTACCAAGTCAAAACACACTGCTCATATGTAATATGAACTTCTTAAATTGAAGTACAAAGTGCTAGAACCATAATTTTAGACAGGCCAAGAGAACATGGAACTATAAAAGAAATTGAAAAATATTTTATTTGAAGATAAAACTGTGAAGAAAAAATTCTAAGAAGCAGTTTTCTATAAGATGATCTGAGATTACACAAGTAGTAATTATAAATCCAAGTGTTGAAAGATACAATTCTTGGTATATATAAATCCATAGTGTCTACCAAAGCAGAATTTAAACTATCACGTTGTAAACTACATCGCATGACAAATTGGACAAATTAATAGGATCTAGAATGTTCATTACCTGAGGCATAAAATTATCTTCATAATCATATACCAACCAATATGAAATGATCTTGGTGAAAACACTGAATATTCAATACAAATAATAACACAGTGGCACCTTTGAAGTTTCAAACAACCAGCTAATTATAATTCCACTTCATCTTCACTTCAATCAATAACTGTTCAGCTCTAAACCGCGTTTTATGCGTCATATGGTCAAATTTTTTGGAATCTTCTTGAATTTTTTAATGCTCAAGACCATCCAAACCTTGTTGAGACACCTGATCACCGACATTAAAATTTGATACTCATTGATCTAAGTCATGCTTCCTGTCGAGGTTGGGTTACTTCATTGTCGTTTCGAAGATCTGATTTCCCTTAAACTAAATCATATTTCATATGTAAACAGACCAACAGATGACACACATCATTTTCTTTTTTTAGTAGCCGTGTGCAGCCCGAAGTCAAATGGTGGTTGTGTGCATGCTATCATGTGTTGACATTGTATTTGGAAGTGTGTTTGACTTTCTTTGTGACATCTAATTTGTCTGTTTTTATTTGTATCATCTATGCCAATCAAAAACATGACTTTGCATCTTCAACCTATAAGATCAAATAAAACTTATTAACTTCAACCCTTTAGAAATGCAGAAAATATTGATGTATATAGAACTTGAAAGAATTGGTTTAAAAAAATCATTTTTAAAATTTTTCATTTTTATGCCAATAACAAGTGATGCAAGTAAAAACAAATAATCAATGATAAAATCAAAATCCTTTAGATTTTGTAAAAAATAATTAAATAAAAAATTAACGTGAAACATATAATATTAAAATTTGTGATAAAATTTTGCATTGAATTTATTTCTAGTTTTAGATTGAGTTAAAATATTTTGATGAAAATTATTATTAAACTAGATTCATTATATCATTGAGTTTTAATTTTTCAATAGTCACACAAAGGTTTTTTTGATGTATCAGATTTACGTTAAATAAACATCAAATGATGAATGATATAATATTTCATGAAGACCTATTGATAATCAACAAAGAGTGATTTATCATTAAATAGAACAAGGTTTATCAATTCTTCTATGAAGAATATTTGTTAGATTTCATGCATTAACTACATTTAAAACCTTAAAGAAATAATGAAAAGCATTGATTATTTCTTACAAAATACCTATTTTTTAAATAATAAATTTTTTTGCAAGAAGATGAAAGTTTGTCCTTTCAATCAAATCAATCATGATAAGTTATGTTAGAGCTAATCAAATGATTTTACTTCAAAAACCTCATGAAATCTACTCCAAATATATGTTTCATAGTTTTATGATCATAAATTTCGTATAACTAATCAAAAAGTTGAGTTTTTTTATTATATCATGACTGAATTTAACTAATCATGGTTACTTTGAAATTTATTTATATAAAATATACATTATTTAAATAATTTAATATAGAGATAAACATCTTTTACTTTCATGTATGTACATATTCCATTATGTACATAAAAATATACATGCTTTATTTCATTTGTTATTCCTAAAAATTGGATATTCAAAAAATATATTATTTTGATAGTATTTAATTAATTTAATTCTTTCATAAATTTTTTTATAAATTAGTTTCATTTTAATGCATATTTAGAAAAGAAATTATTGAATGAATGATTTAAATGATTAAAACTTTCTCAAAAACATCTGAATAATCAGCTCAAAATATTAAGCTTGAATTCTAATGTTATTTCTCCTAGTCCGCAAAGTGATGTTGAAAGGTATATAGATGTATTTCACATTCTTTTAGTATAAATAGTAAATGAAGATTTTTTTTCGCGCAGTGACAAAACTTACTGTAGAAGCACATGTATATATCTATTACTAAATACTTATCTGTTGATTCATTTATCCTATGCCGTTAGTTATATTTACTTCAACTACATAATAAAATTCTCATCCACATTCAGAAAAAAAGAAAGACAAAAAAATATGAAAATATGTATATATATATTTACTTCCATTTTTCAATGTGTTGATGCCAACATGAAGAAGCAGTCATCAAGCCAAAAGATAATGTATGGCAGTACCGTGGTTAGGAGAAAATTTGTAAGTATCTCATAAGAAACACATAATTAAATTGGAGATGATAATTCATGGCACAATTATTATGAAACGTCTTCCTTGCACTCCATGTATGCGACTATCTAAAACGAGAACTCACCGGTAGACGAAACTTCTTTGTCTTTTAAGTACGACTTGGGTCAAATCCAACAGCGTGAATACAGTATACCGTTCAAGGATGACATGGTCAACATTTATGACTGCAACTTGCGGAACTTTCTGAAGGCAGGTGGCGTCTCGTGGCACCGCTGGCCGAGTCCGTCATTGCCGTGGTCAAGCTTTAGCATGCAGAAATTATTGATTTTAGCTGCATCAGTTATCTCTGGAGACCAGTATTCTGCAAGAAACTACGACATTGGCTGTTTGATGGGCCGCTCGTCCAAACTCCCAGTAGTTGGAACGTCATGAAACGTAGAAATTAACCTGTATATTCAAGTCAACCGACGAGGCAATTTCACATGAAGGATATACTGCAAGAAACTGATATTCAATGCGGTGATATTTCCAAACAAAGGAAAACAAACACAAGGATTTTAGATGTATTGCCTGTTCTGAACTATCAGCTTTGATCCACGTGAACTTGTAGGGGTGGAGGGTTTCTCGAAAAAAAGCATTTATTTCAAGGCTTCCTACGAATCTTTCCAACATGCGACCAAGTCCCATTTCGATGTCAATGAGAATATGTCATGCCAAATCTGTGTATATACATCTGAATAAACATCTGAATATCACAATGAAACAAAACGTGTAATAGAGGCGAAGTCCCAATAGCATCACAACGTCAAATATTTCATTTCACGTCTAAAATATAGTAACTATCAATTCATGCAGTTAACTAGTCTTTCCTATGAAGGCTTAAAAGTCAGAATTTTACCCTAACTTAAGAAGGGTATTGGCTCAGGATGGGGTGGTTGGATCTGAAAAATGAAACAGATGAGGTCAAACTCTACAGGTTACGGCGCTTACTCACTTGAATAATTTTTTACTTTCTTACGGTCACTCTCCCTAAATTCCCGAAAGCTTAATGGGTCAACTAAAATGACGGGAAGTCTTGTGGCTGTTGCAGAACAACAAAGATACGGATATAGATCATGGAGATAAGGCTCCAGTTTCTCATCATTCGGTCGGCAGCGAAATATACCTACGTTAGAATGTTTTCTTCTTTTCAAGTATTTCAATTCTGAAACGCCCTTTCTTTCATCCAAGGAGCAGACTGACACGTTACCCATTGTTACAACTCGGTAAGAAACACAATGTCTTGAATTTCGGAGCCGCGCCAATACGAAGAAAGAGAATCAACAGAAAGTCGGGAAAGTCTTAGAGGAAAAGGTCGCTGACAAGGGTTGGTGTCTCACTGCGCGTGATTTCTCTTGTGAGTTCTCATATGAGTATAGATATGCCGCATCCCTTGGGAAGAAGGATATCTATTCGTACGATCGTAGAACTGATCACTTGAGCTGAGCGACCTGAGCGACGCGCTCACACTCTTCTTCTAAGCAGCTTTTCGAACTCCTGACTGACAGCAGCAATATGGAGAGATCTCATGGGACTTCGACTATGGCCGTGTTTTTCGGTGCACTGATTATTCTTTCGTCAGGATGCTGCAGCTCCGCCAGCGCCTTGAAGCTGAAGGCCGTGAATTTCACGTACTACTTGCACGACGATTTCGTGCTGCCAGACGTTAGCGCTGTAAAAGTCACCGGTCCCAACCTGACTCTCGGAAGCCCAGCTACATTCGGCGAAATCACCGTCTTCGACAGCGTTCTCAAGGAGACAATTTCCAATGATTCAGCCCAAATCGGGCACAGCTCGGGCCAAGTTACGGCTTTAAAAGAATCAGTAGAGAAGTTCATTACCTTCGTGCAGGATATTACAATCCTCGGCTACTCCGGAACCATCTCCTGCTCTGCCAGGTTCAACTTCAGCGCCCCGAATTGGGAGGTGGGTGTCAACTCTGGCACAGGTTCCTTCAGAGGAGCGAGTGGCTACTTAACAGCCAGCGTAGCCGTTCCCGACCCAGCTGGATACATTCTGAAGTACGAAGCGAATCTGATCCTTCCGCAACAGTAGAACAGATGTTATGATTTGCAAGATATTTGATTTGATTAGAGAGGAGGTTTCCTACTCAGCGAATTATGCAGCCCGGGAGCGTGGCTGTTGTGTTCGTTCCCGTGTAAATTCCCATAAGGAGATTGGATCCAAAATTATGCACTTGGTGGTTCTCATACACCATATCGATTACTCCATTACACCCTTTTACTCAGGATTAATTACATATTGTAGGGTGCCCATGCGTGACCTACACAGTGTAATACAGTCCCGGAGAAAGTTCTGCCTTCGGACTGTCACATGGATGCCCTACATGCATGTTTACCAGTAGAAACCTCCACTTTGCGCTGGCAAATCTTCCTCTGCGGTGCTCTGTATGTCCAATACTAAATATCAATCCTACATGATATCAATCGAGCTATTGGTTTTCCGCTTGATAAGTATTGTTGTTACAGACAACGGTACGTGTTTTCAGAAAGAGCCAGGCTCAATAGCATGTCCATGATGGTCGTGGCCCTACAGTACATGTAAGGATTTGAACGAGCGATTCTTGATATAAGCCATTCTCCAGTTTCGGTGGAATTATGAACTAGAAAGAGAGGAAAGGAGACCACTGGACTCCATGCTCACTTCGAATTTAAAATGTCTCGGATACTGTGCTACCATGGCGTAGTGCACCATCCTATTATTCTTTTTTCATATATATGTATATATCACAGTAATGATCATGGTCGTTATGAGAGGATATGTTGGTGGGTTGGATGAAAATTGAGTGGGGCCCAAGGACTTTTATTGTGTTGTGGTATAATTCTTTGTCCAAATATTTTACAAAATACTAAGAAATAATACTCGAGTTTAAAGAGTAAAAAAATTGTGCTCAATTCCATTCCAACATTCAATCAGACAAAGATATCAATCACTTGGAAAGATACAATTGAGACAATCTGTGGAGGATTTGAACTTTATTTACTAACATATGGGCAGATCTTTATGAATGTAACAAAATGTCTGATACTGAGAGTTGTCAATGGAAAGTACTGGTGGTGCTCCCCACTCACTCTAGCGTTCGAAGGCTTACTTAGCTAACTTTGCGAGGAGCAAACTGTTGCAAGCTCAAAGATTCGAAGATCATCAGCTTTTGCACTCCCTATTGTAATTTTAATATCACAAATAAGACACACAACTTTACACAAATAAGACAATATTAAATCTATTTTGCACAATTTTTCCCACCTTCGCGCCTTAATCTTCCAACGAGATACTTTACGCCCGGCGAACGAAGTCGCGCTGTCATGCAATCTTTTGCATGTCACCGGGTTGTAAGTCCGCGGAGCTTTTTATATGTATCCTTCATTAAAACAAAGATCAGAACATTCGTCAACCGTTCCAACTGTTCTGATTACACCTACTTGCATCAAGCCAGTAGATACTGTGCACCCTTGCCAGCCTATTCCTCCAATCTCACAGGTTTATCCACATTACCGATTGAAAGTGTCGTTGTAGTTGATACTTGTTGGAACTGAACTTTGAAGTCAAAAACTTATTGCAATTCGTCCTCGCATGCCTTGCTTCTCCGTCCTTTTTTTCTATCTGCTTCTCTATATGGGGTACAATATTATGATCTGCCGTATGGTGTCTACTTGAAAATCGAAGCTCTGTAGATTTGGTATGTGCAGGTTCAGACACTCGCTTCTTGTTCTTCAACAGCTCTTCCAAAGAATTCCCAGATTGTTGGCCATTTGGAAGCATTATACAGACAAGATCCCAATCCTTACGAGAGGGCCGACTCCACGCCCTACAGATCGAAGCTGATGGAATAGAACTGGAAGCGCGTGTTACAGTACTTGAAGTTGCGGTTGCGGCATGCTTCCGCCACGCTATTCTGAAGACTCTCCGGCCCGGACACCATCACCCCCAAATCCTCACCCGGGTACTTGTCCGATATTCCCTCGAACAGGTCTGTACAAATCCCCCATGCGTCAGTATCAGCAGACCAATAAGAAAGAAACAATTAGACAATGACAGCATTCTAGCGTTCCCACACCGCTTTTCGGCCAAGAGATGAATCCGCGAAGAGACAGACATTTGAATTTTGAAAGAAAAGTGAGAACGAGGATAAATTCAATTGCAACCCAAATCCTGTCAGTGCGGAAATTCTATGGGTACATTCTTACCTGCGATGTTGGGACGGGGACCTTCGGCGATCGAGGCCTGGGCCAAGAGCGAGGTCTGGTTGCCTTCCAGGTCAGCAGCGCCGGGCCGCGCCACCTGTTCTGGAGACGCCACGAGAGCGGCGTCGGTCTTTGAGAGCGAGCGTCGGCTCCACATCCACATCAGCACCACGGCTCCGCCGAACACGACGACGCCCAGAAGCATGCTGACGAAGAGGAGCGTGACGGCCGCGGCGGTGGGGAAGGCCTTGCCCTGGGGCCCGTCGGGGCCGTGACTGCTGCCGTGCTCATGGAAGAACGGGGCCGAGCTGTGGTTGTTGGGCCGTACCACGGCGCTGTGCAGAACGCCGTGCACGAGAATGAAGCCCGTTGTCGCAGCGGCGATCACCGCGGCCACCCACACATTGCTCTGCCCGATGTGCGCCACCTCGCGCCTCGGCTGCTGGTCGGCGGCCGTGAACAACACTTCCTCCGAGCCCACGGGCACTCCCACCGCCAGGCCTGCAGCTTTGCCCTCGTCCTTGCCGTCCCCGCCCTCCCGCGTCACGAAAGCCCTGATCACGATGTTGAGCTTCGAGCTTGCGAAGTCCGGGAAGATCTGCGCCGGCGACACATCCATCAGCGTGGCGAGGTCCGCCCTCCTGGGCACGCACCAGATGAGCTCCACGTTCTCGGGAATTCCTTCCTGCCCCATGCGGTAGCGGCACAACAAATCTCGAATGATCGCCATGTAGGGGGTGACTCCCACTCCTCCGGCTACGAGCACCAGCGTTTTGTACCTGAGCAAATCCGAGAAGCCAAGACGATTCGACATTGTTAAAATATGCGCTGATGACTTTGTTCGGAACGACAGACTTCAAGCCCATCCATCGCACTCAGGTTTTTGTTGGAATTGAGTCTCGACCGACCTGAGGAAGTAGTCTCTATCGGGACCGTAGGGACCTTCGGCGAATATCTTGAGTGGTAAGGGGCAGCCTCCAGATTTGTTCTTCGAGGGTTCGGACTCGTTGAGAGAGTCCAACAGGCTGCGGGTCCATCCTCCGAGTGGCTTGATGCATATGGACATATCGTTGTTGTTCTCCAGGGAGCTGGATGTGGTGCTGAATGGGTGCCACTCAAAGCGTGAAACGCTCGGTACGTTGATGTAGATCATTCCCAGTGCTTTGTAACTCAGACCTGCAAGAGGGAGGAGATCCTATGAGGACGACGAGAAGTTCCAGACACGTATGGACTGTCTCGCTCGAAAGTTGGACATCGACTTTCAAGCAGCTGAAGACATCAAGCTTCTGAATTTCAGGTTCGCTTCACTTACTTGGAGATTTGGGGAACCTGAGTCTGACGACCCCACTGGGTAGGACCTGCGCAGACAGAACGCTCACAGCGTCTCGGGACTGAACCATGCGCAGGAAGCGGTCGATGAAGTAGAGCATGACACAGCCCAGGAAGTAGTAGGTGGCGAATTCTCCGACGTGCCAGGCGGCGAAGGCGAATACCAGAAGATACATGTGGTGAGTGACGTAGAATACATCGAAGAATCGCTTACGGACTACTTCCAGAGACGTGACCCACAAGACGATTCCAGCTATCATAGAAATTACTCCTGCCAAGTTCGACACTCCGAATCTCGGCCATTTGAAAATCTGCAGAAGTTTTACCAGAAGAAATGGTAAGGTCAGTGGAGAGAGAGAGAGAGAGAGAAGGAGAGCATTCAGCACCGGCTTCACTCGAGTGACACAGATCATGTACTAGTCAACAAGACCAATGAACGATTGAATGTTTGTGGTTCTACAAATTTCTAAATATCCACAATATCTGAACTTGATCGCTCCAATCAGTAGGAGGCACTGCTGGCCGGCATCACTCACTCCATCGGCTACTTGGCCTCCAGTGTAGTAGATGTGGAGAGAAAACGTGATGGAGTGAGTCAACAGAACCCAGAGGGAAAGGTGACCGAGCCATCTGTGGTATCGGACAGCGTGCTCGAATGGCATGTTCAGCAGTCGCAGAATTGGAGACGCCCTGGAAATGGGGAAGAACAAAAGGGCCATGGGCAAGTACCACGCGCGTCCAGTCCAAGTTCCAACTCTTCCCACCTTGATCATCCATCTGTATAATCAGCAGCGGAATCAGTTCGTGTAATGTTATCATATATTACATATCACCTTGCCATAAGTAGTAAGCATTTTCCGAAAAACGTTATAACTTTACTTCCAGGCGTGATTGATCGAATTTTCATGCTCCGGGTCATTGGATGCAATAGGAAAACGAGTACCTTTCTCTTCCAGGCCTCATCTGGGTGTGATCGACGAGGTCAAGAGCAGGTAGCAGCTGGTTGCAGAACAACCAAAGGAAACCAAAGCCCACAACAGTGATTAACGCCAAATCGGCTCCTGTCAAAATACCCATCGGAGTTCCCACTAGGATAGGCTGTGTCCACATAGAATTGGAAATTTTTGCCCAAAATCGACTCCATTTTGGCAGCTCGCTGGTCCTTCGCTCACTGCAAAAGTGCAGTCAACATATCAATTCCTGAACATATAATCATCGTGCAATCTACACTTCTTGGTCTTAACCAGTGCCCTGTAATCTGCAAATTCCGTAAATTCTGCCCACGGCCAGAGATCCCAATCTAAGAGTCGATGCAAATCTCTTACTTCGTATATGCAAGAGGGCAAAGAGTCAAAAGTTCCTGCTGCCTTCGAGCTATCTTGAACAACTGTTAACGATGAGGTGCATGCGCGTGTTCATTAGCGATTTGTTTTTGATTACATGCTTGTTTCCAAGATTGTAGTCATCAAGTAAGTATCTTCTAAGTTTAAAAAACCTCAACAGTCTAACCATGGTAGGGGTAAACCGCTTGAGATATTCGGATCTGCACTGAGTTTCTGACTAGCTTAACAGGAAGTCTGTTGTCCCACGACCACCAACCAAAATTACAACTAATATATAAAAAACTGCAACCTGTGTGGTCCATGAGGGGAGGGTTGCTTACCGCTCAGGATACTTTCGTAGAAGCTCCAAGTAAACGAGAGTAAGAATCGCGAAGAGGAACACGGGCAGAGTGTACATGAGATAGTAGGGTCCTGCACGATTTGCATGAGACAATTGTCCATCAGTGGGGACTCTGAGGGATCTGTCTTCAAGAAAAGTATGCAACAAATCAACAGAGCGGTCATACGGGAACAGCTGTTATGATGGTCCTGCGCGTGCTAGAGACTAGGATTGCTTGCTGGAAGTGTTGCTAATCGCCCCACTAGGCCCAGTAGGTAATCTCACAAGCAAGCTGCAATTCTGCAGCAGAGACTTTCAGGTGTCTTCCTGTCTGTCTCTCTTCTTCTTACCACTCAAGTCCAAGAAATCTGACCGAGTGTCCTTAATGGCTCCCGCCTTGTACTCCATTCCTGGCTCCGTGGGAAAAATGAGCCATTCGATTGTCCAGAACAGAAGCAGTCCCCACAGGAGGAGGAGAACTGCAGTCTTGGCAAAGAACGCCATGGCTGCGGATGTCAGAAGCCAACTTCCAAGTATTATCACCGAATTTTTCAAGTCCAAATCTTCACGATGATGAGCTTATTAAGCACTATGACTCCATTCGCCCGCCTCCCGGCTCCCTTGTGAATCTTGCCAGATTTGCAGGCCTATCCTGGTGGTAGGCAGATTGTGCTTGGCAGACTTGGGCATTACGACGCTTTTATAGCACCCTCGCCCGAATCACACCCTCTGACCTCCTCCTCACGTGGGGCCACGGCCAGACACTTTCTTGGATTGAATCGAATAAGCCCGCTTGAATCTTCGCCCACAGTAGAGGTGTAGCTTGCTGCCACCAGCCGCTACAGCCACCAGATCTATGAGCGGTCGGTCAATCACCCAGCATAAATCCACACCTTTCTTCCCCAGATGAGATGTGCCGTCAAAACACCCGGCCAATTCTGCTCTCTGTTACCATCATGCTTCTGTCAACGATTGCCAGGCCGAGGCTGCAATGTAGTACTCTCCTACTAGCGTTCGCGTTGTCACAGCATTTTCTCGGATCTCATCTCAGTGTACTGCAAAAGTACGTCGATAGTAATGTAGCATTCGCCATGGAATCGGCAGAAGACAGCGGAGACTCGGTGAGCCCCGTTCGTACAGACTTACCGCTTGTGCTATGAGATTGTGTCGTGTTATCAAACAGGGTGGATCATTTTTGTCATCTTCCGCATTAATGCCAAAGTAAGGTCTTGTCGCTTTTATCCCTCGATTGACAGGTCATCGGATTCCAGCGGCAGCTGCTGCTCGTATTCGGTGCATATGCAGAAATACGTTCGTGTTTTGTTTGCATGCTCAAGAGCAATCATTAGTACACTTACCAGTACAATCCTAAGTACTCGAGAAACAGAGGCTGCTGTTGGTGGCAACTTGTGTTGGGACTTCGGAGTACGAAAACCAATCATCCGGCTTCGGCTTACGCTATTTGAGATATGGCCTTTGAGGATTGGAAAAAGTCAACTCTCTGTCGGTCCAAAAGGGGTTCGCACTGTTGGTGCGTTCGGCGTTTGCCGGGATTTCCTGAAGGCTCAATGTAGAGTCCTTGGGGCTGCCTGTGCTTGCCGGAACTGAGGGACGATGTTGGAGATAGTGGAGAGTTTTTGAAACGACTGGCCATACAGTTCTATCGCCGAGGACGTTTGCTGGACAGAGGCGTTTGCTGGCAGTGTTGAAGTTCTCCTCTCCTACTTCATTTGATCTTGCTTCATTGAGTTGTGGGCAGAGCAAGCGTTAATTCAGTCTGCTAAGGCTTAGAGGTCTTGGCTCCATGAGCCCCACCATATTTGAAGATTCTGGTTATACATAGGCTGCCTCTTGGAACGGTTCCTGTCGTCGGGTGACGTGTTGTAAACTAGTCATATTGGATATTTCGTGTGACTTCATCGTTTCGGCCGCAGTGATAGTGAAATAATGCTCAAGATCCGGCTCACCGTCATCAAATAATTCTGCTTCTCCACTGCTTAGTCTGAAGGTATGACTGTGTCAATCATTACTAAGAACTCTCTAGAGCAATAAAGTACTGAAATCAGTGAAATGAGCTCAAGCCTGTTATAAGCGCGGCTTCTGAGAATCAAAGTTCTGCCTTGGGTCACGAAAATGAATCCTATCACTATGCGGTTCTGTTTGTTAGGAGTAAATAGGTTGATATCTTCAAAGTCTCATGGTTTCTATGTAGCTGGGCTTACTTCTCCGAGGTCTTATGACTGTGAGCAGATCTAAGCAGGCCTCCAAGCCTCTGACTACAACCAGCAGGAGCTGTCGATGGTGTTGCATTCTGCACGGGTGAGAGAGTTATAAGATCACGGTATCAAGCATCGAAATTTCACAAGAAAGTACTCGGTATTACAAATGTATATGTCATGATTGTATATCTCTCTCCTGCCTCTTGCTCCCCCCACATCTCAGTAATTCTTCTCTGTCACACGGTACAGCACCTCACAAGCACACATCACAGATTTACACAATCACTTGGTAAAACAGACGAGAAGTTTGGAAGACTACAGAAGAACGTATCTAGTTTAATTGTTTCTATGAGATTTTGCATTTTGTGGCATGCACAATTTCTAAACCCTCCGTTAGCCAAGCCGAGCAACCAAGGCACTAGTCACAACAACCAGTAGGACCAACCGTCATGCGTTGCTCGCATGTTGCCCTTGCAAAATTCTCTCTCGTGGTCAAAACTCCTCACCTAAAAGCATTTGAAATCACGTCGCTCTCTAGGATTTGGTACTCTCAACAACAGTTTACTTGACTCCAAAGCCTACGGTCCTTCATGGCCTCCTCTGCTCCCTCCATCCTCATGGCAGTAAAGACACCACAAGTTCTCACATTTAGTGATCTTGATAGCGAAGATCACGAGAATGACCAGGTCATTTCAACAAAAATCAAGGCGAAGCACATCCAAATGAGATACAGTAAAGCTTTATCATACAGTTTTCCAATTCACAATGGCAGTATAGGGGTGAAGTACTTCAAGTATTCATGTGGAGAGTTTTGATTTATGCATCTTTGGTATAAAAGATAACAAGTAGAGTGGACCAAATATTTAGCTAATTTTCTTCTATATCTGAGTTTACTATTTGAAGTTTGAGCTAACCCTATTTTATAGAGCTAACTACGTAAGGGTTCTAGTAAGTCTTGCAAACATAATATTGATAAAAATTTCATAGATTTCAAAATGTCCATAAAAATGGAGATTGTAAGCGGTTGGCTCTAGTTATTATGACTATGATGAATTATTTTAATTAGAGTGTACTAAAAAGAGTTTCCTGAAGCTCTTTACGATAGAAAACTAGACTTGTTAGCTTAGATTTGTGTTACAAAGAGTCAGTTTTATGAAGATAATTCAATCACTTGTGGTGTCATGTGTCTTTTTGCACAACCTCATGAACAATTCTATACTCTGCTTAGCCGTCAAAGTTTTCAACTAGACTCTAGCTCATGCCTTGGACTTCATATCACTTTTCTTATGACTTCTTCTAACTATTTCAAAGACATTGTGTTTCCACTTTAAATAAAGTGGAGATAAGATTTCATCAAGAACATTATACATGACATGAACTCATTGCTATGCATAATTCCTACCAATGTAGCCATATGTACATCATTTTTAATTTGTTATTTTGCAATTTTATGGAAATAGATCAATTCATTTGAGCATAGTTGTAACAAAAAGAATAAAAAGTTATCACTTTATTCTTCATTTTTTTGCAATCATACTTTCAATATTATTCTCTTTGTCCTATGAAATTTCCTTCCATACAATGATTTCAACCATTTACAAATTACCAGCTATTGAACTTTCTCTTGAACTATTGAAATTTTCATTTTGATTTTCAAGTTCACTTCTTTCCTCTAAAGATTCAGAGGGTATTGTTGTAAAAACATTCATCTCATCTATAACTAGATTAAATATTGCATGAGATGCACATAATATTCAAATTTTAATATACATTGTTACAGTTGTGTAAGTTCTTTTGCTAGTGTGAAATCTATGACTTCAACCTAGTTTTGACAATTTTCTTCTTGTCATCTCTTGAATTGCATTTTAGCTTATTCATCCAAGTAATATCAACAAAAGTGATACTGGAGTCTAAACTATCATGGGATGTTATCACATAACTCTTAAAATATGACGTTCTATTATTAGACGCCATATTTTAAATTGCCACAATTAATTTGATCAATCTGCCCGTGACTAACTAATGTTTAGACGCCATATTTTAAATTGCAATGATTATTCTGACCAAGCCACCAATGAGTGAGTAATGTGGCTAAAATTTTGTACATTATAAAGACGGCCATAGGGGATTACTGCGCACGCAAGCAAAAGGAAGACATAGAGAAGTAAGTTAGGATAGTAATGCGTGCTCAAGATAGCCCGTGAGTGCAAGCGCTTGAATTTGCTAGTAATCTGCGGATCGCAGAACCTGAGCGTGCTTCTAAGTTGACATGAAGTTGCAAATAGATGCCCACGTTTTTGGTCGTTCGAACCCAATAGTGAAAAGGAAGTTGCGCTCAAAAGAGAAGAAGTAAAAAAACATAGCTTGCATACATTTCATATATTTTTTTCATTGTATACTTACATATAATTTTCGTAGCATGATTTTTTTGATCATATACATCTTTTTGTAGCTTGAACATAAAGTCCCAAGTGAAAACAAAGCATTTGCAAACCATAATGAGTTGAACGACGTTTTAGATCAAGCATGTGATTGAATTTGGTACCCAACCCATCCAGTGATCTATAGATGGCATCATCATGACTGTTCAATGTCTATTTTTGCGTCTGCATTGGTCCCAAAAAGCGCAAAGGTGCTAATGTGAAGCGTCAATAAACCAAGTTCGCACACCTGTTTCAATTTTTGTTCTATAACAAAACCTAGACAACCACAATGAGTCTTAGCATTCTGAGGATTGAACCAATAATCTATTGCTCTCTCATGAAAAGAAGTTAAGTTTTTTCAAGTAAAAAGATTTATCCGGCATTCATCGTTATCTGGACACATACAATTACACACTTCAATTTGTTATTTTTTGGTTTACAAACTCAGGGTTGGCTCTCATTAAGGTTTAACTCAGATGGCTTTGCAGTAGTTCATCATGGTTCAAAAAATCTAAAATTATTCCTCATATTCATAATTCAAACACATTTTTTCAATTCATCAGTCAAATTCATACACACATCGACACTTCAAGATATTAAAAATCGTCACTCTTTCACATATTAAACAACTTTCTACACAAGAAATCTCCAAACTTGCTTGAGAGTTGATTTACTAATTTTCTATATAGATTATTTGAAAATTTATCATCGTAACAAATGATAATTTTTATTTAATTTACTTTTGCAAAGATTGATCATAGTAAGTTTGACTAGATCTCAATAAGTGACAACATGACATTAAACTCCTAAACCTTCTAGATGTTTACTAATCTTTAGATTGAGGTGGCGACATGTTATTCGTGACTTTTCAACTTCTAGAACCTCCACTTGCCACTAAGTCAACATAAGACTTAGTCTAACCAAAGAAGTTCTCACTTCTTCGTCAAACCAATCAAACTAAACATGAAGTCAAAAGTTTTTTCTCTTAGAATCTAGACTTTTGTACAAGACAAAATAAAAATGCTCATTCAAATACTTTAGAACTTCATTAATTATTCCACCAAGTAGAGACACTATAGCTAAATATAATTATAACTTAGTCAACTTAGTTACAACTAGCTAGACTTAGTCATAACTGTTAAGGTCAACTTAGGTTAAAGAGTAACCTCATGTGTAGCTATTTATAGTTGAGTTTGATCGTCTAGGTTGGATATATATACCGTGATGCTTCTGCGGGTACGATGACATTTTCACTTGAAGTAGTAACTTTCTCCAGTGTATTACTCCGTGGACGTAGCCCTTGACGATGAACCACGTTATACATGTGTCTTCTGTGTCTCTAGTGTTGTTGGCTTGCTTAGTGTGATCTTGAGTTTACCGTTAGATTAACTAACCTAACCATGATTAACTCCTTGACAACTAATAATATTATTTCATACATACAACATTCGATCAATTGTCGATATTGTTGTGGAAAATTTATTTTTTCATCAACATGAAAACTAAGAAGACAATGTGTTCCAACCCATCACTAAGATCAATGTCATCAAGTTGTTCAAACTGCAGAAAAATAGATCATATGGTGACAATCAAGAACTCCGATTCAACCTTGATATGTAGCATTTTTTTCTTGGATTGTCATTTCAATAGATGTAGGAGGTGATCAAACAACATCGTGCATCAATCAAAAATTCTAAACTTAACGTACTCAACGCTCACATGGTGAGTAAGGTTGTGCGTATTTTTCTTGCCCTTGCCTTGCCGATCATCTTCAATATCCTCATGAATCCAACTATTTGGGCGTTTTATCTAGTTGCTAATGCAAGCATTCATCTAGAAAGTCCAGACCTTCATTAGCTGATTTGCGTGTGCTTGAAAGGCGTGCTGTACAATCTGCATCTTAATCTGATTCCATTCTTTGAAACACATATCGTTCAAACTACGTCAACTCATCAACTCTGCTTGATAGTGTGTTTACATCTTGGTGCGACAAGGTCATTGCGATCAATTTAGATGAAAAGATCACCATGACCATCCAGCACGCTGGAATTGTCACTTTGCTAGAGAAGATGTGAGCCTAAAATTATAGTCACATGTATTTTTATTACTATAAAATTTTAGAAAAAAATAGATTTAGTTATTATAGTTATTTACAAGTGTCAAAATTGGATTTTGACCAGTGAACTTTGAAGTGGTTTAGTTTTGATTCATGTGAGTTGAATATAGAATGTGAACAAGTGGAGTGAAGAAAGACTAGGAAGAGGGGCGAATGTTGCGGAAGGTGTAAGGGTCGGATGGATTAAAGATAAGAGGCATGGTTCCCGATGATCAATTTTTCACTTTGGTAGAGGATCTGATGGTTGTGGTTATGAGATAGATCTTTTAATGGCGGTGCGTATCATGTAAGAGAGGACAAAGAAGTGTCAAGATTAGTAGCGTAGGTTTGAGTTAGAGAATTCAAACATTGAGTTTTTTGAGGTTGACGATTTGGACCTTCTAGAGACTTGAGAAGCAATGGAAGATCGAGGAGAGTTGGAGCTAAGGAAACTAAAAATCACTCAATTGCGAACCAATAAGAAATCTCGAGAGAGAGATCGGAGTAGAAGCAAAGTTGAAGGTTAAGAGTCACTCTTTGACCAGGAGTCGTAAATAGAACGGAGATATGGAGGTGTAAAGAGGAAGAGATAACAGCAAGGGTCGAGAGGGAAAAAGGTTGTGTTGAGCTCAGTGTTTAAGGAGAGGTTAGGTATGGTGGACAAACGGAAGAGCAGACGGAGAGCTGAATAGACGAATGGCTCAAGTCAGTGGACGAGTGAGTGAAGAATGCGGAGGCTTGTGACATCTGGCTAGCTGTGAATGGGGAAAGTGCGAAGAAGAGAGCAAGAGCATTAGTCTTTGCTGTATCATCTGGGATAGCATATGTTCTGGAATGATCGATCGTAAAGATTGTAAATACAAGATGCAAATTAGATGCTTGAGTAAGACTCCATCATGTACTTTTTGTTCCAACAAAATGCCAATGTCAAAGAGTCTATCCTTAACACCTCAGCGTCAACTTTGCTCGATTCTAACAGTTCTGCGAGACCCTTTGTCTATTCTTTCGCAGCACAGTCAGCATCATTTGCCGGTTTTCCACCACGGATTACAAGGCATGCACAATGCCACATACAACTTGCAATCAGTACCAAATGCAATGTACCAAATCCAAGGTTGGGGGTGGCTCTGCAACAGGACCGTACGAACCAGCAGGAAGCTTATTTTCAGGGCGGTTTGGAACGAATAATCTGCCGATTGTATTATCACAATTATTGCATGGGACCATTCATGGACATTGTGGAATGACTAGTATGGCGGTTTGGAACCAATAATTTGCCGATTGGATTATCATAGTTATTGCATGGAATCATTCTTGGACATTCTGCAAGGACCAGTCAAGCAAGTATTACCGTAGTTGGAAATCATGATTTCAGCAATAGCATGAATGGGGTTAGAGGTTCTGGCCCTAGAGCAGCTCAAGTTGCAGCATTTCTTAGTAATTGGAGAGCCATGGCAGGTCTTGGTGTTTTTTCTTCTCAAAAGGGGATTGCTGGACCAAAAATTGCCAGTTCAGCTGAAAACTTTGGAGTTGGAGTAGGTGTTAGTTTGACTGGTGATGGCAACCTTAGTAGAAGTTTAATCGCGGGTGGTGGCCTAAGAGTGACTAGCTTGAAGGGGTTTTGAGTGAATATGGAACCTCTTAGCAATAGTGGTGGGATTGGTGCACAAGGACCTGGACGCCTTGTTAATCCTATGCTACCGCAAGGAGTTAACATATCTTCATCAACGTACATACTATCGGGCGACCTTTTGGCTATGATCAGCAGAGCATCACAAGCTGTCTTACTGCTTGGGAGCAATTTTTCATCATCTCCAGGGTCCGGCATTCAAGTACCCTCAGCAAATGGACAGCTTGCTACTATAGGACTAGTGAATGATGGAGTTGCTTTTGATATGAAAGACTTTCCACAATTGATCACGCGGCAAACTTCTGGTGGAGGACTGCAAGGTCTTGTAACTCTCCTAAGAAAACAAGATGTTGCTGTCAATATCATTGTTCAACAAAATCAAGAGTTTAGCATCCAAAATGAAGATTTTACAGCGTTGTCTAGTTTCAGAGGTGGCAGTTCCTTTCAGGAGAAGTCTTAAGATATTGAAAGATGTCTCAGTGATGGAGCTTGAGAGAAAGAGAAGTCTCTATCTTGATCATGTGATCGCGTAGAAAAGAAAGAGATGCAGCCGATTCTCATTGAACTTATTTTGATAGCTATTCTAATTTTAGCTCAAAGGATGGAGAGGTCAAGAAAGATAGAAGTTTAGGCAAGGGAGACTCATAGAGAGGTCCCAAGATAAAAAGCACGTCTGATTTGAAAAAAATGTAATGGTTAGTAAAGTCTCAAAAGGTTCAAAGTGGAATCCTGAGCCAACTGATTCTAGCCTTCAAGGATCATTACGTGAAGAGGTGGCAAATGATCTTACATCCTTTAAGTTCGCAGCACAGAAAGCAGCAGATCTTGTGAATAAAAACCTCGGAGTACAAGACTTTATGTCAGCAAACCAGAAAAAGAAGCTATTGTGAGGAAGCAACAAGTCTGGAGCTGATTAAGAGCTCCCTGTTGCAGCGGGAATTAATCGTTATGACATTGTTCATTTTTCGGATCATGATCTACAAGAAAAGTTTCACAAGCTCATGGGCAAGAAGGTCACTGTCATTGTTAGCAATTTTAATGAAGTTTCACGTTCTGGTAAAGAAGTCCAATGAGTAGGGTCTGCCAAAAGCTGCCTTGTATGACGCAATAGCTTTGAGAGTAACTAATTCATTTTCAAAAGAGAGATTTAAATATTTAATACATGTGAAATTTTCATGGAAAATATAATATAACAATATGTGATTAATTCACCTAGATTGTAACCATCTTTAATTAATTAAAACTAAGAAATAGTTTATTCAAAATGAAATTAAAATTATATTTAAATATAATAGTCATAGTTATCATGTAAATGATATATATATTTGATAAATAAACAATAAATGTGTTCATTGACAACATCATGTCAATAATCTGTGTATATGTCAAGTAAAGATTAAATGTATTAGTTGTGAATATCACGTCAACAATATGTATGTTTGTAAAAGTTATCCGTCTTGGTTACGGTGGAGGTGAGATTTTATTTCCTTTTATTTATTGAAAAATGTTATAAAGAGTTGAATATAATCATTGTTGATATTTCTCGTGTATAAAATGAATTTACATTTTTAAATGAACTTTATTTTTTATTTCTAGTGTTATATAGACCTTTTAGAAAAAAAATCATCATTACGTGAGGTGATCACATGTCATTGAAGAATTTCAAACTTTTAGAATTTCATTTTTCCACTGGATTATACTTTATAACTAATCCAATGAAGATTTAAGATTTTGTTATTGAATGAGATTAATCAATATATTATATAATTAAATTGTTTTTTAATTTGAATTTTGATAGAAGATGAAATAAATATAATCATTTAGAGATGCTATAAGGGTTTTAATTTTTTCATTAGATAAATTTAGATATAAATTTATAAACTTATATTTAAATTTATTCAACTCTAATTAACCTTAGTTTTGATTGAACCAATCATACTCAGCTTTTTATTAATGCTTCAATCAAGGCATTTACATAAACAAAATTTTACAATATTTAAATCTTTGCATCTCGTCTAACATTAATTTTTAATTTTTAAAAATTATATAAATATAAGAATTTTGATAAAAAATAATTTCACACAAATCTTCACTAATATTCAATAATTGATGGATAACATAGTTTTTCAGATAACAATAATTTGGAAAAGTACAGCCAAATATCATTATATAAACAAATAAATTTCTAGAAATTTAGGTTTCAAGTTTAAACTCTTAACCCACTAAAGGGTGAGCTAGATTTCACTATAATCTCACTAACGAATTGAGGAAGAAGTAACACGAATTATCCAAATATGACTCGTATAATATGCATTTTCAAGAGTCAGCCCATTACCAAGATCTTCAAATATGTGCGGTGCCCGTGGAGCCATGAACTCGAAGTCTAGGCAGACTAGATTAACCCTTCTTCTGCCCAAAGCTCGATGAAGAATTGAGCCAATTTGTATATTGTCACCCAAAATCTATGAATCTGAAGTAACATCCCACTGGAGCCAACTGATTCACTTTCAGAAATTCACACTTCATTGGAGCAGTTTTTTCATCTCATCTCAACTTGGAGAACGGAGCTGCTGATGCTGTTAAAGATCATGCGAGGCATGCGAAGAGCTGCCCTTCCGACACTGAGCTCCCTCTGTCCAGCAAACGTCCTCCGAGATGGAACTGCATCGCCAGTCGTTTCAAAAATCCTCACTATCCCCAACATCCTTCCTCCGAGTGGGCAACCGCAGGCACCCCAAAGAACTCTGCAGTAAAGCCTTCAGGAAAGCCCGGAAAACATCGAACGCGCAGACAGTGCGAACCCCTTCTCCACCGACAAAGAGTTGACGTTTTGCAAACCTCAGAAGCCAAGTCTCAGATTGAAGCTGAATCTGAATCCGATGATTTGGAACCGTACTGCGAAGCCCCGACGCAAGTTGCCACCAACAGCAGCCTTTGTTTTTCGAGTACTTGAGATCGTACCGTAAAGTGTACTGATGATTGAGCTTGAGCGTGCAAACAAACGACGAGCATACTTTTGAAAATGCAGCCTGCAGCGAAAGCGAGCAGCAGCTGTCTCTGGAATCCGCTGACCTGTTAATCAAGAGATTAAAGCAACGAGGCCTGATTTAGCATCAAAGTGGAAGATGACAAGAATGATCCACCCTGTTGGAATACTCAACCACAAAACGACACACTCTCAGAGCACAAGCGCCAAGTCTGTACGAACGGGGCTCACAGAGTTTCCGCCGTCTTCTGCCGATTCCATGGCGAATGCTACATTACTATCGACGTACTTTTGCAGTACACTGAGATGAGATCCGAGAAATTGCTTTGACAACGCGAACGCTGGTAGGGGAGTACTACATTGCAACCTCGGCCTGGCAATCGTTGACAGAAGCATGATGGCAACAGAAAGCAGAATTGGCCTGGTGTTTTGACGGCACATCTCATCTGGGGAAGAAAGATGTGGATTTATGCTGGGTGATTGACCGACCGCTCATAGATCTGGAGTCTGTAGCGGGTGGTGGCAGCAAGCTACATCTCTACTGTTGTCGAAGATGCATGCGGGCTTATTCTGTTCAATGTAGGAAAGTGTCTGGCCGATCCCCACGTGAGGAGAGGTCAGAAGGTGTCATTCGGGAGATGGCCCTACAAAAGCAACGTAAAGCTTAGATACCAATGTCCAAGTCTGCCAAGCACAATCTGCCTACAACCAGTATAGGCCTGCAGATTTGGCAAGATTCACAAAGGAGCCGTGAGGCGGGGGAATGGAGTAATAGGGCTTAGTGAGCTCATCATCGTGAAGATTTAGACTCGAAAAATTCGGTGACAGTACTAGGAAGTTGGCTTCTGACATCCGGCAGCCATGGCGTTCTTTGCCAAGACTGCAGTTCTCCTCCTCCTGTGGGGACTGCTTCTGTTCTGGACAATCGAATGACTCATATTTCCCACGGAGCCAGGAATGGAGTACAAGGCGGGAGCCATTAAGGACACTCGGTCAGATTTCTTGAACTTGAGTGGTAAGAAGAAGAGAGACAGACAGGAAGACACCTGAAAGTCTCCGCTGCAGAATTGCAGAATTGCAGCTTGCTTGTGAGATTACCTACTGGGCCTAGTGGGGCGATTAGCACCACTTCCAGCAAGCAATACTATTTTCAAGCACGCGCAGTACCATCATAACAGCTGTTCCCGTATGACCGCTCTCTTGAATTGTTGTACTATTTTGAAAGACAGACCCCTCAGAGTCGCCACTGATGCACAATTGTCTCATGGAAATCGTGCAGGACCCTACTATCTCATGTACACTCTGCCCGTGTTCCTCTTTGCGATTCTTACTCTCGTTTACTTGGAGCTTCTACGAAAGTATCCCGAGCGGTAAGCAACCCTTTTGTCCTGGACCACATCGATTGCAGTATCCAAGTTTTCAGTTGTGGAATCTGTCGGTGGCCGTGGGACAACAGGCTGCCTGATGGCAGTTGTGAAGCTAACGAAAGTGCGTTTGTCGAATAGCTCAAACGACTTACCTCTTGACGACGTTAGATATTTAAATTGTTTGAAACTTAGAGCTTTTTTCCTTCACTGCCAAACTCTTGGAAACAAGCATAGAACAGGAAAAAAAATCTCGAAACACCACGCGCATGCACCTCACTCTTTACAACTGTCCAAGATAGCTCAAGCGCAGTAGGAACTTTCGACTCTTTGCCCACTTGCATATATGAATTTGAGAATTATGCATATCAGAGAATACCTATTTACTCTTTTACCGGGAATATCTGACCGCGGGCAGGTATTACGGAAGTCGCAGATTGCAGGCACTGGTTCATACCAGTGTTGTTGCACGATGATGAAATATTCAGAATTTTATCTGTTGCTTACACTGCTGCAGTGAGCAAAGGACCAGCGAGCTGCCAAAATGGAGTCGATTTTGGGCAAAATTTTCCAATGCTATGTGGACACAGTCTATTCTAGTGGGAACTCCAATGGGTATTTTGACAGCAGCCGATTTGGCGTTGATCACTGTTGTGGGCTTTGGTTTCCTTCTGTTGTTCTGCAACCGGCTGCTGCCTGCTCTTGACCTCGTCGATCACACCCAGATGAAGCCTGGAAGAGAAAGGTACTCGTTTTCCTATTGCATTCAATGACCCGGAGCATGAAAAGTGCATACATTGCAATTTACGCGCGCACAGGCCCCGCGTTCCAAGTTCAGAAACCAAACTTCTATCGTAAACGTGAGAAGGCTTCGCAGCTTATGGACTGCAGGCCGAAAGTTCCCATTCTGGTCCTATGGTAATTTATCAATAGCAGACTGAGAGCTAGACAGCGTGTATCTGTGCGCGTCACCAATGTGGAGCATCTACACTATCTCCCAATCGTACACGGCTCCCCATCCCGTCCACAAGTTGGACGCTGCGAATATGCTCCTGGGGCAGAAACAGAATCCTAAGCTGTTGCTGTCGGTCAGGGCCTGAATGCAGAAATGCTGAACTTATTTCAACTGGCGACTTGCTTGGCTCTAAATTGCTTTTCGCAATCTGAAAGCTCTTATTAGTTTGTCCTCGAAGGCTCTTATTAGTTTGTCCTCGAAGGCGTTTGCGAGGTCATTGGGGAGAGGTTAAGTTCAGAGGGTCAGGTAATTCAGGATGGATTCGAACCAGATTGACCGGCGATGTCCGTTTGTCGACTTTGTCTCTCTCAAATATACTCGTGAAGAGAAGCTCGGAGCTCGTTCGCAGTTCCATACTTGCCACAGTCCATCAGCAAAGACAATTCCGTCTTCCGACAAGCTTGGACGAAGTGTCTGTCAGTGCTGTAGTAGTGCTCGACGTGATCACTTGTCATATCTTCACACATTCCTTAAAAAGGATGTGGAAGCTTTTTCCTCGTTCTGGTGACATTTGTGAATGTTGTACAGATAGAAGTACATGGCCTCGAAGAAAAACAGCTTCCGAAGAATTGTCTTCAAATCGTACTGGACATAGACCCTGACTGAGTTGAGGCTCCAGGATCTCCATGTTGTTTCCGCTGGTATTGTCCAGATCAATAAGTTCCGACTCAAAGCTACTGAAGATGGTTAGTCTCTCCGAGACCTGGTTGATTATGACGTCAAGATCATTACGCTTGATCCTCGCGTTTTCCAAAGCAGGAAACAGCAGAAACCGGGTGGGGCTTTTACGACCAGTCTAGAGAAAATGGGGAGAAACTGAGGCTATTTTTGTTCGAGCCGACCTTTTGTACATGCTCAACCTTCTGGGTCGTCCTTCTGGCTCCTGAGAGCTTCAAAGTTCTTCCGGCACAGTGCGCCTATATAACTTGAACGAACTTGAGTAGCAATGGAACACATCTGAATGTCTTTCGGGGAGCACAATCTCCGATTTTGAATATTAAACCAATCCTTTTCTGAGCATGCCTTCGGAAATGAGCGTTCGTTGCCCCCAGCAACGTGCGACAAGCTTAGATTCGCAGAGTGAATAGCATATCTCTGGAGTCAGGATTGTTGACCATGTGCCTCAATTCCCCCACGAAGTTCGATTGATTGAGTGCTAGGTATTGAACTTCAGCGCATCAGCCTTAGCCTCTAAGGCCTGGAGATCGACCTTGGAAGATCTTGTCAAGTTCTATCTCAAAGGCAAGGAGCGTCTCCTTACTCTAGATCGCACAACCGTGTAGAACTTCTGTTGAACCCTGCTCTTTGATGTCTGAACACGGATAGATTGTCAGATAGCTCTGGATTCTATGGAAATCTAACAAACTAAGAACTCACTCCTGCAATTGAAGCCGGGAATGGATGGTCGTATGGTCGGTTTCGAACCCTTATAACTCGAACGAATGAACTCTCCATCTTGATAGACAATCCAGATGGTGAATTGCCCTGGTGATATTTTTGAAATTGTAACTTTTGTTCCTAACCCGTATATTCCTCATAGTCCAGGATTACGGTGCCAGATTCGCTCTCCTGATAGGCGGAAAACTGGAACGTTTTATTGATTCATTATTGAAGAATTTGTAGACATGAAATGTGAAAGCACACGGCCTAGCTCAAATCATCTCAACCATAAAGAATCTTCTGATAAGTTCAAATCTTACTCGACGGCTTTTATGTCCTAAAAACAGAAAGATAAACTCCAAAGAGAATTACAGCGGGACTCCATGTCGTGGACTTTCAGACCATTGGACCATCTACATTATTTGTATTGTAATGCATTTACTCGATCCCCTCTAACCGTAATCCATATCCCACGATGTATCTCTGTGGGTTTAGCACTAAATCTGATCAACAGGGTAAAAATCACGTAGAAACATGCTCCAGAAGCAAACCTCACCTCAGCTTGTCTTTCCAGTTCCACCCAGATCATTCCTTTGATCTGAGAGACAGGAAGATCGGTTTCTCTGTCTCCACTTCTATTCAAAATTAAATTACAATATCCCTCCGTTTCTTTGCTGACAGTCGACAAGATACTCCATGCACGTGAGATATTGACATCTTTTCGGTTATGAGTCGACCAAAACGTGTACGTACGGTCTGAAGCAGAGAACAGGGAGAGATCACACGATGGCACAATTCAGGTTTCTAGTTTTAGTTGCTCTCCTTACTTTCTCTGGAGTCGTGGTGGATGCCCTTGGCCCCAGTGACGACGGGTTTGTGGGATTCAGAGATAACTGCAGGAGTTCATGCAAGGACGCCGAGAAGGTCATTAAGAAGGCCGTCCAGGCTGAACTCGCCAAGAACCTCAAGCATGCAGCTGGTGTCCTTTGTATGCAATTCCATGATTGCTTTGTTGAGGTAACCCAGAGAAAGTGTCTACGAGTCCACGTGGATCCAGTCCTTGAGCAGCTTCGAAGATCAAGATTTCAGTTGCTCAAGTTCGATTTCATATATGAGCTTCTCTCGCATGTCTTCATTGTCACGACGCATGTTGCTCATGGATTGCATGTTTCGCAGGGGTGCGATGGTTCTGTACTGCTCGACGGGCCTGGAACGAAGAAAACATCTAATGTCAACGAAAAGCTGGCAGGTTTTGAAGTCATCGACGCTGCCAAAGCTGCCGTGGAAACAGTCTGTCCTGGAGTTGTTTCATGCGCCGACATCCTTGCTTATGCAGCTCGAGACAGCACAGTCGAGGTACGCGCACTTCATGCCTGAGAAAAAAGTGGCCTTCACCAGCTGCTGAGTGCACCAGCTCTTTCTCAGAATTGCATCATGTGAATCTCATCTTACAAGAATGAGAACGATCTAAATTATTCATAATATTCGGGTTTACATACTGTACATCACTATAAACTTGTCACTGAATATACAGAAATTTACCATGGGATGTTTAGAGGAGTCTATATCAGGGCACCCTTTTCAGCTCACGAAATAGGACAACTTCCAAGTTGAGAAATTCAGTCGAAGAGTGTTTCAAACTAGCCATCGGTGAACCATGCGTAACGCAGCAAACTCTGGATATATGCCCACGCGAGGTTCTCCGTGCAGCTCTCTCGAACGCCAGAAGATTCAGATTCAAAGGCAGCATACGGCAATGGTTATAATGCGAACTGGATCTCCTAAGCAGATCCAGTAACACGAAGGAACGATTTGGACGATTAAATATTTCATAATTCTATCTTCATGATGTATACACATATTTTGTACAAAGTACGTGAAGATTTTTATGTTTTTATGAATTCATCAAACTTAGCATTTCACTAGATTGTTTCACTCGTTATAATGATTTCAACAATTTACTAACCAACTTGTTGTCGTATATACATTTTTTATTGTAAAGATTCATTAAAAAATACATTATATTTACATACATCTCATTCTGAATAAGATTAAATGTTGCAACAAGTACACATTTCAATTGAAGATTAACACACTTTGCTATAGATGAGAAAACTGTGTTAAAGTTCACACATCTTTCTTATGTGAAATCCTTATCCATCAATCCAATCTTGAAGATTTTCCTCATCTATTGGACTGTATTTCAGCTTTTATATTCACCTGCAATGATTCAAAACTTGATTCTTTGGGAGCTAGATTAGCTCCAATTCTTGTTATCTATCATATGTTGCATTTCACTTTTCATAGCAACACTTAATCCAAGTTTATTGACAGATTCTTGAATTTTTCCAAAAGAATAAAAAAAATAAATTCCAATATCAATGCCATATTATTATCATCATGAGTGTTAATATCACAATGATTCCAGAAAGATAAATTAGCCCATAATATATACCTTATAAGAGTCAAACTAATCCAATTTCATGATCTCCTGATAAATGATTTTGGTTAAAATTTTTATTATATGGTGCTTATACTTACTACTCATCAATAATAATCTGCTCTTCCATATTTTACTTTTTACAAATTTGCTTCATTTGTATTTGTATCACTTGAATCATATCATTCAATTTATAATGATCAATTTAATACTCAAAAATATTTGTGAATGAAGTTTTATCATTGTTCAAATTTAAAATTTGAAAAATTTATTCATCTTTCAATGATTTTATCTCATTGGAAAAACTTTACAATTGACATAAATTTAGTATCTACTTTGTATAATAGTCTAAAACTCTTCACATCACTAGCATGTACAAGAAAACAACATTTCTTGTATGTAATCAACTTCGTCATATTCTCCTTGGGTATAAAAGTATAAAACGTATACTCAAAAATACTCAAAAAAATATACTCAAAAATACCCAAAGTATAATAATCAACTTTTTTTGTACTTGATTTCAAGAAGTGACAAAAAATTGATTCTTTAAAATTTATAAGTAATTATCAATTATATTTCAATATTCATAATTTCAGTACAAAATTCATATGATAAACCATATAATATGATCAATACATTGTGTAGATTTTTTAACATTGTTGAATTGATCTATCAAAATCATCGTTCTATTGCAAAGTATAAAACATGATGAGATGAAAAAGTAATAACTTACTCTTGGCAATAACTTTCAAACTTCTCAAAGGAATACTCCTTGCCATTATCAATGTTATACGTAAATATATTACCTTTAGTCTAATATAAATCTCAACTTTGACTTTTCAATTTATAAAATTTGTGTCGATTTGAGAATTATGTGTGAGAGAAGAAATCAACGCAAACCTTGACTAGTATTCAATATATGATATATGTTAAAATTATCTCAG